CCGCCGGTCCCGTCCGGTCCGCCTCAGTTGCCCAAAGCAGTCCAGACAGGTCCAGCAGTCGCTTCCAACAAAGGCCCTAACCACCTAACCCTTAGAGCCAATCCTTATCCCGAAGTTACGGATCTAATTTGCCGACTTCCCTTATCTACATTATTCTATCAACTAGAGGCTGTTCACCTTGAGGACCTGATGCGGTTATGAGTACGACCGGGTGTGAAAATTATTCGCTCCCTAGGATTTTCAAGGGTCGTCGAAAGCGCTCCGGACCAGGCATAAGTACCTAGCTCTGCCGACAGACCTACCCCTTCTCCAAGTAAATTGATTCCGAGGTGGGTCGTGTCGTTAAGAAAAGAAAAGAACTCTCCCCAGGGCTTCCGCCGACGTCTCCTAGTTTGTTTGCGTTGCCGCCAAAAATCCACATCCCGGCACAGGAATTTTAACCTGTTTCCCTTTCGATAGGACGGTGCGAACAAGCGCACACTTTAATACGGAACTTCCCTATCTCTTAGGATCGGCTAACCCACGTTCAATTGCTGTAATCGTGGAACCTTTCCTCACTTCAGTCTTCAAGGTTCTCACTTGAATATTTGCTACTGCCACCAAGATCTGCACTAGAGGCCGTTCCACCCAGCATCACTGCCAAGGAGGGCATCAAACCCCTGCACTTCTGTAAAGTTGAAGTACAGCCTGTGCAGGCCTGGGCCATCGTGAAGGATGGAACGCAAAGTGACGCAGTCAACATTAACGTGCGAAAGGCTGTGCCGCGGGAAACCCCTTGTGGTGCCGTATGCACCGAGGCTGAGGCCGTGCATAGGCCGGGATTTGCCGACGGAAGGCCTATGATTGTCGAAGGATTGCAGGCCGCAGCTTGTCAAGGGGGCCCCTGCCAGGCGAACGTGCCTGCCGCTGCTTCCTCCGACAGCCCCGTGTCGATGGAGGCTTTGGCACCCGCGCTCGTGTTTGGCCTGGCTGAGTGCTCTCCAGCAGCCTGTCGGTGCCCACATGGCTGCCAAGCTTGAATTCAGCGCTGGAACACATCCTCCCTAATCTTACCCGAGTGGCAAAGCTAGCTTGGGGCGGTGCGACAAGTTGGAGGGGGGCGTTGAACCATGCTGACGACATAGAGCCGAGCTTGTGCATTTGCATGGAGGCGCCTGTCCGCCTTGCTGCCTCGTGCCCAGCGGCTGCGTGATCCCCTGCTGTTAGCGTTCACTTTGGCTGAATGGCCAGTATTCGGAAGCGTCCGCGATGGCGGGGTGGCCAGCTGAGCTCGGCGAGTTTGAACCAGCGAGCGTTTCAATTTGATGGTCAACAGCACGAGTTGATGCTTGGTAATGCCTTGATCGGCGGCCAGGAGTCCGGCTGTCTCTGAGCGTATTCACGGCAGTTGCTTGGTGGGCTGGATGGACGGCGGCGTCGACGTGACGGAGTGGCCGCTGCACCTAGTCAGTGTTGGCAAGATCGGGATTGTCGTTGGTGGAGTTGTGAATTGGCGCAGACAGTGTTGTTAGCTTGGTGGCGGGTCCGAGTCTCATGTATAGGAACGCCATTTGCACAGGCACTCGCACCTCCTCGACTGCAAGGCTTGATTTCACTGTGAAACTCCGCCTCCGGGTCCCAACGGACAGTGGCATCTGGGATCAGGCCTCCGATTCACGCTTCCTTCGTCCAACGTCTTGACGCCTGGACCCCAGAACATCGGGTGTCCATGACTGTTAGGAGCGTGAAGATCAAGTACGTGTGAGGACACTGTGGGGCGAGGAAGAGACGCCGGTCGGCACCATCCTTCGCAAGTTCTCGCTTGACGTCGGTCGGTGTCAACTCTGCCATGCTTCCCACTGCTGCATCTTGCCGGTCTTTGGTCATGGCCATGGATTGTGCTGATAGAAGTGGCCATAGCGACACTCTTTGAGGAACTCAGAGAGCGGAGTCTGCTACTTTGTACCCGGGCACCTGACTTGCTCCGCCGCCCTCTGGAGCCATGCTTGGAACGTTCTCTGCCTAAAGTTCGGTCGACAGCTCGCCAGCCCAGATCACGCTGACCTTCCCACCTGCACGAGTTTTGTGCAAGTGACGTTTGTTCGTTGACCAGTGGAGCATGCATTGGGAGTGCTGACGACTTTACCCACTCAGCGCGTTTTGGCTATATCTCCCATCCGCCTCTACACCAACGCCACCACACCTGCTCCGCCGCCAACAATGGCGACAAGCGGAGAGAACCGCGCGGCAATCATTGCCTCGCTGTGCATGGGCCGGCACGTGCTCCCCTATCGTTCCGCGGCCCGTCCAATCTGCGCCGACGCAATGGACGAAGACAAGCTGTCCGCCTCAGCTGACATGGCTGTCAACAAGGGCAAAGAAGACAGCAACTCGCTGTCTCAGCCTGATAGCAACGTGGACGTGGCCAGCGTCCACGCAGTCACCATCATCAGCACAACTACGCGCCGCCGCTCTGGTGGTGGAGGGCGCGGCGGACGCTCACAGGGCGGCGGCGGCTCTCGTTGCCCGCCAAGGACCCCAGCCATCCCTGTAGTGGCCGCCACGCCTCATCGCACCGCCTCACGGTTCATGGGCAGTGCCTCCTCCAGTGAGGAGCATGCTCGCACTAGCAGCACCCCCTTATACTTGCCATTGGCTGCGCCCATTTGGGCCAGCCCCAACACCACACCTTGCGCACAGCGAGAAGACCGTCGTGACCAGCAGCCCAGCAGTAGTTCCACTCTGGTCGTGAGGTTGGTGGATGCGCGAACCGCCGACCTGCCCGAACCCTTCTCGCGCCCCACGGCATGCTTTGCTGGCAGTGTTCATGATTCACGATGGCTTTCCAAATGCGGAACCATACAAGACAACATCGCGTCTTAACAAGATGCTTGTGGTGTCTTTCACCATCTTGCATGCGTGGACAAGCGATTGACGGACCAATCTTGTCTAAAGCTAAGGCAGATCCAAATGAAACGATAGCTGGCGACGAGTAGGGTAGTAGCCAGCAAGCAAGCAGTCAAGCGTGACCGAGCTATGAGTGGCTGCTGGCTGGCTCATGATTGCTACGGATGAGCCTTTCGTCGCCACCTACCGTTCCTGTCGAATGTCAGAAGGGATCCTACGTCCGTGGAATAGCTTGGATAGCAATGCACAGTTAGGTGTGGATCTACATCCGCGAGGAAAATCATAGCTCATGATCGTGATTTCGAGAAAATTTGACGTTCGATCATTTTGGAAGATTGATGTCCGTCTTTCGGTATTGAACCAAGTTGAAGCGTCAGAGAGCAACGATAAGATGTGAGATGCAATTTGGGAGCTGTTGCCAGAACACTGAAAGACAAAACGAAAATTGCTTCACAATCGAAATTTGATTGCTCTAATGCTCCATTATGACTTTAAGATTCTACGCGATAGGACAAAATACCTAATCACAGAAAACATTAGTTTTTCCGCACTCCCGTCTTTCCTCATGCTTACCCGTTGCATGCACGACTTGGATAGCTAACCTTCTCCAACGCTCCCTCAACTTCGTCTCATGTATATGAAACCGACACCTCACGCCTTCTTAAAGTACGAAGCTCCAGTACGTTTCTCTTCTCGTTTAGGATATGATTAACATCTTTAGGGTACAAGGGACAGTCAAAAGCCAGGTCCAGGTCCATATCATGATTTTTGATCTGCTGGATCTCATGAATTTCTGACTTCTGTGTCTGCAAGAATTTGTGTCTGCGTTCCGAGTTCTAGGCCGATTCCTGCAGCTGGAGATTCTGGACTCCAGTTGCGAGGCCAAAGCTGGGATTCAATGATTCGTGATTTTCTTGATAATCCTAATATCTCAAATTTCGGCTGTAGTTCAGCCCAAATTCAAGCCGACTACAATTCATGGTAGTAATATTGGACGTAGATGAATCCGGTTCAACTGCGAAGCCAAATACGGTCTGCTGTCAAATGGAGGCCGGTACGGTCCATTCCAGTTCAGTCCAAGCGGGCGCCTCTACACCGATGCCCACAAGGCCAAATCCTCCTTCCCAGGCACATACCGCTTTATGCGGGGTCACCCAGAGTTACTTGCCTTTCATCCCAGCCTGCAGAAGCAGGAGAAGGGGGTGGACTTCGAGGGCAGCGACGAGGTCGCTGCCCCAATCCCCCAATGCGGACGAAGAACAACATACAAGTCAAGTCAAGTCAAAGTCAAGAGTGAAGATCACAGGATGCAACGCTTCGGTCTACTACTCCACATTCTTACGAAAAATAATTTGCGATTGCGAGGTTTTTGAGCCCAGAAAAGGACTGGGAAACTGATCGAGACGCTGTGTCATAAAGTCACAGCATGAAAAATTCGATTGACTTTAATGTCCAGTCCAGAGCGAGGCTCGCAAGAGTCATACCGCCGGCAGGAAGCTGCAACGACTTTTCTTTTGGAGGTGACTTTGACGACCTCTTCTCTAGCGGACCAATGGCTCACTCTTGCAGGAGGCGACCACACACACGAAGTGTCTCTTGTCCAACCTTCAGGAGCAGGAGGGGGATGTCAGTGGTTCAAATGCGCATACAAATTCTGGGGGAAATCCCGCATCATGAATTGGTCATTGCGGTCGCAGTCCGTGCGGACAAATTTATGGATTTATCAGGAACAATCATAAACAGAATCGTGATTCATTTTTGGCCCTCAGAGTGTCAAAATCTAGTGTCGGCTTCCCGACTTGCATCAAGCTCAAGTCTGAGCCACGTGTCATATTTTGCATGATAGTTCAACTTTGAACTAGCCAACCGGCCTGGGAAAGCAAACTAATTCAGGGAAGGACCACGGGCACACCTGTGAACATGGACAGTACCACGCGTCATGAGTCGCATAGCCAGCTTGAGGCGCCAGCAGAGCCAGCACAATCGTCCTCATGTACGTAAAATCGCGAGTTTCGGAGCAATTAAAACCACTCAGGCCTCACCACGACTCATGATCTGGCCCGAGGCAAAGTACCACTTGACATGAACGGATCGAGAACGAGCACCTGACAACGACGACTCGGCCCAACCTTCACGCAACACAAACTTTAGCGTTTGAATGGTCTAACTCATAAAGTGTCTAAATCTGATTTACAGTTGAAGCTCCATGAGCTCGCGATAGCGGCCTCCGCGGGCGATGAGGTCCGTGTGCGTGCCCGACTCGCGGATCATGCCATCCTCGACGACAAAGATCCAGTCGCACTTTCGAAGGCTGCTGAGCCGGTGTGCGATGGTGACCGTGGTGCGGTTCAAGGCGGCGCGGTCGAGAGCACGTTGCACTTGGATCTCTGACTCGGCGTCTAATGCCGAGGTGGCTTCGTCGAGAAGGAGGATCTTGGGGTTGCGGAGAAGCGCCCTTGCGATGCAGAGACGCTGTTTCTGACCTCCCGAAAGCTGCGAACCCTTGAAGCCGATCTCGGTGTCGAAGCCGTTGGGCAGGCCGCGGACAAAGTCGAGGATGTAGGCATCCTCGCACGCCTTCTCCAAGTCCGCCTGTGTGACCGACTCGGGCTCGATTGAGCCGAGCGACAGATTCCATCGAATGGTACCCTCGTACAGGATCGGGTCCTGCGAGACGTACGCCATCTCCCGGCGCAGCATGTCGATGGGCACCTGTCGCACGTCGACACCGCCAAACTCGATGCTTCCTTGGCACGGATCGTAGAAGCGCTGGAGCAGCGCGAGGATCGAGCTCTTGCCTGATCCAGAGGTGCCGCAGAAGGCGACGCTCTTGCCCGCTGGAATGGTGATGCTGAGCTCCTTGAGTGCTGGGTGATTGGGTCGCTGCGGATAGCGAAGCTCGATATCGCGCAACACAACGTCTTGCGCCGCATAGCTACCGTCCTCCACCTTGGCACGCAACGACGGGTCGAGCGGCGGCAGACCCTTGGTGTCTGCGACGAGCGGCTTGCGGTTGATCCAGCCCGAGACAGTCTTGAACGAGTTGGTCGCGCGGCCATAGTCCGGCACAAAAGTGAAGAGCCGTCCAGCGGAGAAGGCAGCGATGATGACGGCCTCGAACGAGGCATAGAGCGCCGTGATGTCGACTTCACGCCTGCTAAGCAGCGTTCCGCCCCAGTAGAAAACGAGGGCAGACAGAAGCAGCACCATTGCCTGCGAGACAGCGAAGCCACCCGCTCCAAAGATGAGGTAGCGCGTGCGCTTTGGATCGGCCCGAGCGCGCTCGTCAAACACCCTCATCGTCTCCGCCTCTCGACCGAGGGCAGCCACGGTCTTGATTGCATCGACGTGTTCCGAGACGTAGGACGCAGCGCGGTCGGCGGGCTTTTGCGCCACCGACTCGTACTTTTCGAGCATGGCAATGTTGAGCCAGCCCGACATGAAAAGGACAAAGATGGGAGCGAGGCAGACCACGGATGTCTTCCAGGTGAGCACCAGACCGAGGATGACCGAGCCGACGAGGTTGATGCTGCTGACGACGACCTGCGCCAGGACGAGACCCGTGGCAGCGCCGACGTTGGCAGGATGGCTGGACACGGCAGCACTCATGGCACCGCTCGCATGCTCCTCGGCGTCGAAGAATCCGATCTCCTGTCGGATCAAGGAGGAGAAGCCCTCCTTTTTGAGCTTGCGCATTACGTGCTCCGATGCGGTCTCGAGGAAGAAGCTGCCGATCATGACAATGACCAGATCCGCGAGCGCCAGGATGAGGAACCACAGCGCCCACCGGTTGGTCTCGCTGCGCAGTCGCTGGTTGTCATTTTCGATGGAAAGCGAGTTGACCGCACCACCAGTGAGCCAGCCAGCAATGGGGAAGCTGGCACCGGTTGCAACGGATCCCAAGAGGCCGATGGAGAACCAGAATTTTTGATCGTTGAGGTACCTGAGGAATGTCTTGCGAAGGCGACGCTTCTCCTCCTTCTTCGCCATCTTGCTTCGATGCTCGCTGTCGCTGTGACTGGTGAGGCTCTTTGTGTCGTCCGCCTTGGCCGTGCCCAGCTCAGTCCCAGCTGCAACAGAGGCCTGTGCTCGGTCAGCCTCTTTGGTCGCAGGAGCCGATTCGGGCGCATGCTCATGCTGCGCCAAGGCGATGCCGGTGCGGCCGGAAAAGGCTCTATAAGGGTTGTCTGATGCACGGCTGCTGCGATGCCTGCTCAGCGGGAGGGGTCGGGAGGCGAGTTCCAACGGCTCGTCTGGCACGACGGAAGCCGAGCGCACAGTTGACGCTCCGTCGACCTTGGTCCTTGTGCCGTCGGTCATGCCGGAGACGGAGATGGAGAGAGAGTGATCCGGCGCATTCAGCATTTCGCCCGCCGCGCTGTCGTCGCTGATTGCCACCGAGGCGTCGCTCGACGTCGAATCCGACGACTTTGGATCGCTCGAAGCGTCCTTGCTGCCGGTCTTGGCGTCAGCGCTAGCATCTGCACTGTCGCCCTCGTACTCTGCGAGGTGCCTCTGCTGCATGACCATGCTGCGATAGAGTCCCGTGTGACCAGCGGTGGTCTTCTTCTCCATCAACGAGTCGTGATCACCCTGCTCTACGATGCGGCCGTTCTTGAGGACAACGATCTTGTCGGCATGCTCGATGGTGCTGAGACGATGGGCGATGAGGATGGTGGTCATGCCGCGCTCCTCCTGCTCCTTTTGGAGAGCGAGTTTGATCTTGCTCTCGGTGTCCGAGTCGAGTGCCGAGGTGCCTTCGTCGAGACACAGGAGACGCGGCTCGCGCACGAGGGCGCGGGCGATGGCGACTCGCTGACGCTGACCACCCGAAAGGAGACCGGTGCGGCCGCCCGAGATGGGCGTGTCCATGCCCTGGGGCAGCTTGGACACGAAATGCCAGGCTTCCGCCTTCTGCAGGGCGAGCCTGACTTTGTCGCGAATGGCGGCGGTGCGGTCCGGGTCGTATCCGGCGGCCTGCGGATCTCCATCGACGTCTGGAAGGTACTCCCACTCGGTGCCGGTGAGGCCGGTTGCTACGTTCTCAAAGACGGAAGCGGTGAAGAGCTGCGGATGCTGCTGTACGATGGCGATCTGCGATCGAAGCCAGCGCGTGTTGAGCTCGCGCACATCGTGGCCGGCGAAGAGGACGCTGCCCGAGCCGGTGATCCTTCCTTTACCTGCATCGGCGGCAGGATCGGTCTGCTCGACATCCTTTTCGTCGATGCCAGCACTTTTCGGCTTCGACTTTCGGAAGAGCGACTTGGACGTCGGCTTTTCGTCGTTGGCGTCAGCTTTGGCCGAGTCGTCCTGCTGTGCAGCCTTGGCGTCCTCGTCGTCGTGCGGATGCGGGATGTTGGCGGTCTCTGGGTCGTACTCTCGAAGGAGGAGGCTGGTGATGGTGGACTTGCCCGAGCCCGATGGGCCGACGAGGGCCGTCACCTTTCCCGGCTCGAAGAGGACCGAGACGTCCTTGAGGCTGGCAACGTTGGGGCGGGAAGGGTAGGAGAAAGTGACGTTGTTGAGCTCGAAGCTGGGCGACCATTGCTTGTCATCCGAGGCGGGCACTGTACCATGTTCGTTGCGAATGTCGATTTTGGGCACCCTCTCGATGGCCCTGCGCACCTGCTTGATGGCGGTCCAGGCGTCAAAGATGCCTGCGATGTGGGGTACGATGTTGGCGAGGGAGAAGAGTGAGTTGAGGTAGTTCCAGAAGGTGGTGAGGAGGTCGCCGACGAGCACCCTGCCCTCGGCGATGTTGATGGATCCCCACCAGAAGGCGAGCGAGTAGGTGCAGTTGAGCATAAAGTAGACGGTGCTGGTTTCGAGGCCGCGGATGGCGGATTTGCGCATGCCGAGCTTCTCGAGGGGCTTGAGCATGGCCTTGTCGAAGCGCTTGAGCAGCTGAGACTCCATGCCAAAGGACTGTACGACGCGGACGGAGCCGAGCACCTGTTCGAGGAAGGTGGAGGAGCGGCCTTCGATGCGGAGAGCGGGGGCGCCTACGATCTCGGTGGCCTTGCCGAGCACGGAGAAGATGATCATGGTGAGCGGGAGGAGGGCAAAGAGGACGCCGGCGATTCTGGGCGCCTTGATGAATCCGATGATGGCGGATACGACGAGCGTTGCGCCGGACCAGGAAGCGTAGGCGAGCTTTTCGCCGAAGCCGGCACGGATGACGGCGATGTCCTTGGAGGCGCGGTTTGCGATCTCTCCTGCGCCGTGGAGGTCAAAGTGGGAAGCGTCCTGGGCGAGGACGGAGGCGACGTAGGTGTGACGGAGGCGCTGGGTGAGGTCGTGTGAGGCGGTGGTGAAGCAGGCGAGGAAAAGCCAGGCGAGGAGGAACTCGCCAACGCCGACGATGGTGACGACCCAGCCGATGTAAGAGGAAGCATCGCGGATGTCTTGCGGGCTGGCTGCGCCCGGGGTGACCCTGTTGGTGTAGATGCCGTAGAGGAGGTCGAGAGCGGGCATGCCGCATCCTGCCAAGAGTGCCGCTGCAAAGCCGACGAGGTAGAGCACGCCGGGATGGCGCGCAAACGCCGATGGCGAGGTGAAGGGTGATGGAACGGCGGGGCAGAAGGAGAAGAGGTAGAAGAAGGTGGGCAGACGGGTTCTGTGCGCCTCGAAGGGGAGTCGTGCTGTGCCGCGAGGGGCCTGTGCTGGTGGTTGGGCGTGCATGGTTGTGGAGGTCTGCAGCGTTCAGGTCGGCATCACAGGAAAGCGGGGAGCAGGCTCTTGCAACTCTATTGCAGCACCCTCGGGGATGGGCAAGTGAGGGTGAGGGTGAGGATGAGGGGAGTGGAGAGAAGAGGGCGAGCGGCGGATGATGGAGGAGCGATATAAAGCCTTGGCGCGGGGGATGAACTCAGCCAAGCGTCGTACGAACCACCTCTTCCGACCTTGTGCGAGCCGAGGATCCGATGGACGGCGGCGGCTCGCGCTATGAGGCAATGCATCCGGACACGTCGTACAGAGCAGTGCACACGCACGCCACCCGGGCCAGTCGGTGCACCCTCATGCAGCGGCTCGAGCGTCCATCGGGAACGTGGACCTCGATTGTTCCCCTGACCTCGCCAAAGTCTCGACACCATTCGAACCACCATGGAAAAGTGCGGGCCGAGCAGAGCGATATTAGCCGCCTTTTCGCCAAAATGGCCGATTTGGTGTGCAGCTGCTTTGCTCTTCTCGGCTGAGCGCAACGCGAAGGCGGAGAGGCGGAGAGGCGGAATCGGATTTTTCGGAAAATCGCTCAGAAACGTCAAAAAATTCAAAAAAAATTCCCTCTCAGCCATAATTTCTCCATTTCGCACAGCCGCGCCTAACGAGGTGTGCGCGATTCGCAGCCGCGACACGCATTCGAAGCGGCTTGGCACAGTCGCAAAGCGCTGCTGTGTGGCAGACGAGAGGGCAAAGGCGATTCGCGCGTTTTTATGCGATGTTTGGCGTGGGAGCATGCCAAGCAACGCAGCACCGCGCCGTCATGACTCGAAACAGAAAGAAGGCTCCGCGGTGCTGAGCATGCAAAACAAAGCTACAGGGGAGCGAGTCCGATCCAGTCGCCCGAGGGGTTGCGGCTGAGCACCGTGTAGAGACTCTGCAGCAGCGGCGTACCAGCCACGGCGGGCACAAACGGATTGGTGGTGCCCACCAGCAGACTCAGGCAGCCCGGCGTGCTGGCGTCGTTGCTGCGCATCAGGATGTCCGAGTCGTCCACATCCACCTGCGTTCCGTCCGGGAGTACCAGCTGCACACCCAACTTTGTATCGCACGGCATCGAGTACACAATCGGCTCGTCCTTAGACCTCTGCACCTTGAGTCCTGCCCGATTCATGATCGCATCCATCCTCGACGCAGGCAGCATGGAAACCGACGAGCCCGTGTCGAGCAGCAGGTTGATCGCATCCACCTTGTCCGCACCCTTGGCCGTGATGCTGCTGCCTTCGAGCTGCCAGCCCTCATCGCCCTCGACCGTGTACCGCTTCATCTTGGGATACTTGACATAGTTGTAGCCGCCCACTTCCAGTGTCGGCTGCGCACCCAAATCGAGTGCAATCGTCTCCTGGAACCCTCGCCTTTCCCTGGCCAGGCTGTCCAGCACGGGCGCTGGATCGGCATCCGCCTTTCGGCCAAGACCCAGCAGTCCGTCGTGGTCTAGCTTGCCATCGCGCTCAAAAGTCTTGTTGGCTCCACCCACCGTGGCGTCGATCTTGATTCGGCCCAGTTGCACCACATCGCTATACAACGTCAGATCCATCTCGCCATCGCCGTACGCCTCGTGGTCCTTGCGTCCTACTCGACTGGTGGTGGAAGCCGCCGGATCGTACTTGCGCTTGGTCGATGCACCGGGACAATCGGTATCCTTGCACGAAGCCAGCACGGCCCAGGTGAGCATCGATCCCGTATCCGCAGTGAGGTTGAACAGCTGCGTCGGCGTGCCCATCCCCACCTCGGCATTGTACGTCACGCCCAGCATCTTGGGATACCCTCCAACCGCGTGAAGAGGCAGCACCGTGCCGCGCTTGCGCACCACTGCAATCGCAGAAGCATCGTTCGCAGAAGCATCGCTGACGGCGGCGAGCTTGAAATCTTCAAATAGCCCCCTTCCTCTGCCCGCCGGCTTGGCAGTGTCGGGCTTCCAATTGGCATACCGCGCCACCGTATGCTCGTAGCCAAGCTTGATGTCGCTGACGCTGACCCCGCTTTCACCTCGCAACGCGCCAGGTGCTGCGCCGACACACCACGCGGTGGCAAGCAGCAGTGGAACCGCACTCAACACGTTGGTGCTAAGCATCTTGAAGTCCTGCATGCGGTTCGGAGGATCTGCCCGAGAGGAAACCGCTCATCTATATACTCGCAAGGTCACGACATGGGGATGATGGATGTGGGAAGAGGACCCTTTCCCCTGCGTCAGAACTGATCCCGCTCCAGGTGCACCGCGCTTCATTAACAAGTCCCCACCCTGGGCTGCATGACAGTCAATCGACAATCGTCTTTCTCTATGCTGTCGTGCGTGGTGGGTGGGAGGGGGGTAGGGGGCTTTTAATGCAGGTCGCCACCAACCCTCCACCCTCCACCCTCCACCCACATGAAGTGATAGATATCCTTCGACCCACTCGATCCCCCACCGTTTTTGACTCATCCTGTGATCTCCTAAGAGTGTGACAGTGTGACACTAATGATCTCCGCAATGCTTCAACAGCTCGGGTTTCGGTTCAAGTCTAGGCAGCCTTTCATTCGTGTGTGACTGGAAGTGCAAGTCAGGAAAGGCAAGTCAGGAGAGTGGTGGGGCGACGGTCGAGGTTCACAGCGACGCCAGCTGCTCTCTGGCGCGCTTTCCCATCTCGATCTTCTTCTTCTTCCATCCCTGGTTGCGCCAATCATTAACCACAACTTCGTCGCCTTATTTGAGCTCGAGCGCGTGAGTGAGCTCGAGCTCGTGTGAGCTGCGCAACCGGATTCAAAGCATCGTTGGTCAGCTCTCCTTTCCCATTCTGAACGATGCACTTGGGCTTGGCCACTCGCAGAACGACCATGACGTCGTGGCATGCCTCGAGGCGGGAGAGCGCAGCGAGGGTTCGCATGGCTTTGTCGGGGAACTCCTGCATGCACGCAGCACTCTCGACTGGGATGGGACCGTCGACGATGGCATCGGCGCTGGCGCGGTCAAAAAATCCGGCCGTGGCGCGCAGATCGTCCACGCTGCGGTAGACAGCATCGTGGTGCGGGCGAGTGGAGCAGAGCGATTCGGCACCGAGCTCCAGAGGTGCAGGTAGAGGATGGTACAGCGCTTGTTGGTGCGCCGCATCGCCCGAGAGCAGCACCCAGCTCGGCGTCGGATCGTGCGAAGTCTTGGCCAGCATCACCTGGTGGCCGGGACAGTGCTGTATATGAGAAAGCATGTCAAAACAATACTCGGGTACAGCTGGCATCTTAGGGTGAGGTTCAACTCACACCCTCGGCCGAGGCGATAAAGAGGCTGCCGTCTCCTAACCAGTCCCAGGCTCGTTCGAAAGGGCCCACCTTGGCGTGCTTGACCCGGGCGCCATGTGCAGCCTTTGCCTTGATCTGGTCCGTCTCGATGAATGTGCGATCCTTCAGAAAGCTCGAGGGGAACGACACAAGGCCTTTCTCGCCCTTCTCGGCTGCCTCGTCACCGCCGCCGATCCATTCGCGCGTGCCGGCACCGACAAAGACCGGGGTTGAGGTGGGAAAGTCGAGCAGATTGCCGTAGTGATCGAATCGTGCATGCGAGAGGATGAAGGCCGTCAACCCAACGGACGGCGTGATCAGCAGGCCCGATCTGACGCACGGAGGCTCGAGCTAGCGTCTCGAGCTATTGTTCCGGTCGACAGCAACGCCGACCCGGATTGCCGGGCCGCCATGCTTCTAACGTGCCGCGGGCAAGACAAAGGGAAAAGGACGCACGCGACGCAGGAACAACATGGGGCCCCAGCTCGTGTCGAAAAACGCCGCCTCCCCTGCATGGATGCGTCCCTCCCTGCTCCTGCATCCTCACAGCTCCTGCCTCTCCTCCTCGCCCGGAGACCATCTTACCCGGCTGCAATCATTTTTGAGATAGGCTACACGCAGTGTGACCGGCTCAGAATGTTATCCAATAGCACAGTTGAATGAGATTATTCGACTTGCCTGTCGCGCCGAGCTTGCTACAACAGGACAAAGGGGTGGAAGGATGTAAGGGGCCCGCCAAGCCATCATCCTGAAAGCCAGAAGTGCTGATAAAGAATCAAGGCCGGCAAGAGTGCGCTCACACGCAAACACGCAAACGAGCAACAAAGATCAAGTCAAGCTTTGTCGGTAACCAAGTGAACAGTTGCGTTGCACCCGGTGAACTCCACTCTCGACTTGACTTGGGATTGCCAGCGGAGTGGATGCGCTACTGGGGCTTCTCCTTGTTCGTTCCTACATCGACGACTTCTGCTTCAGCGGAGGAATCGCTGATTCGTCCAGGCGAAGTCGAAGCGGACGCCTCTGGGTCCTCCAACACCTCGAACAGACCGATCTTTGCAGCCTCCTGCTCGATCTCGGCAGGTTCGAGTTTGGGCATCTGCTTCGCGATGCGGTACGCCGGCTTGCCCTCGATGTGCGCCTTTGCAAAGATGAGATCCATCTCCTCGAGCCTTCGTCCGGCAGTTTCGGGGTAGAAGAAGAAGATGATCGGGATCCAGAGGAAGTTGACGAGCGCAAAGAAGAGGTACGCACCCCATCGCGTCGAAGAGATGAACAAGGGGGTGAACATGACCACCGCAAAGTTGCTAATCCAGTTTGTGCATGTCGAGACCGAGACGGCGGCGGTTCGCGTGCGCAGCGGGTTGATCTCTGGACTGTACAGCCAGGGAAGCGGCAGGATGGTCCACGCAAACATGGCGATGAAGAGGTAGAGACCCACCGCGGCACCCTTGGCGTTGCTGACGGTTTCCGGAGCGGCGAGACACGCCATGGTGATGATGAATGCGCAGCCCTGTCCGAACGCTCCGATCATGAATAGATTGCGACGGCCCACCCTCTCCACGAGGAAGAAGGACGGGAGCGTAAAGATGACGTATACCGTCGCAAAAACTCCGCCCATGACCAAGGAAAGCCGCCTCGATTGTCGCAGCGACGTTTCGAATAGAACCGTACTATAGTAGATGGAAGCATTGCAGCCTGTGAATTGCTTCGCAGCGGTTCAAATTTTGATGTTGTCAGCGTTTTGATACGATGTCCCACGATGGAATGAGGAGGAGGAGCGTTGTCGGCGACTTTTGGCGCGAGTTTCTTTGTTTCGGCCGAAATATTCCGGGTAACTAACCCCACCTCCTCGTCCTGCTGCATCTGGACATGCAGCAGATGCATTCCGTGTAACTCACCTGGAAGAACTGAGTCGAGGAGCCGATGAGCATGCGTCGGAAGTGCTGTGTTTTACCGTTGGTGAAAAGATCGCCCAGTCCGCCCTGTTTGCCGGTCTTTTCGATGGCGTCGCGAATGATGCGCGCCTCGAGCTCGATCTCCTCCTTGTTGGCCGTCTCGCCCTCGAGGGCGAAGAGGACGTGCTTTGCTTCGTCGTCCCTGCCGCGGGCGATGAGCCAGCGCGGGGATTCGGGGAGGTTGAACGCGCCCACGAAGAGCATAGCCGCAAAGACGATCTGGAATGCGATTGGGAAGCGCCACTGCACGCTGCTGGGCACGTACGACAGCCCAAAATCGAGCCAGTACGCCACGAACGTTCCTATCACCATGCGAAATCGATCCAGAAGGACGAGGAGGAGAAGGGTTCAGCATGCGCGTCAAGTTGTGCGAACAATGGGTCCACGTGGAGAATTGTCTGTGCGCGCTTGGACCGCATATGAAAAAAAGGTCACTTACCGCATGCAATCACTGCGCCTTCGAGGTTGACGAGCAGACCTCGGTTCTTGGCCTTGGACATCTCCGACTGCCAAACTGGGATGGTAGCCGTGTTCATTCCGTTTCCGAGTCCAGAGATGACTCGTCCGACGACGAATTGGCCGAGAGCCCAGTGTCCTTTGAATGGGGTCACCGAGATGACCGTTCCGATGATCATCAGTACGGCACCTACGAGCATGAGCGGTCGTCGACCGATCCTCTCTCCGCGAAGCAGAGTGAAGACGGCTCCGAAAAAGCAGCCGAGCTCATAGCAGCTGGTTACGGCGCCCTGGATGACTGTGGCGTGGTGCGAGGTGCCTGCAGTGGCAGGGAACTCCTCGTTAAACTTGACACCCGTGATGATTCCCGACATCAGCCCTTGGTCTGTTCATGTTTCGGTCAGTCGATTGCTGCAAAGATAGCGACAGACGCTGCGGTGCTCACCCTTGCCCTCTCCGTGCCCGAGCGCGGCAGGAGAAGGAAAAGCAGTGGCCACCGAGCGGGGAAGGAGCAGACTTACCGTATCCAAACAGGCTGAATCCGATCACAGAGGTTGCGGTGATGGCCCAGCGCAGCCGCCGGCCAGTGAGGCCCATGGTGTTGGTGCGCGATGCGATCTTCGACATGATGAAAAAAAGCACCGCGTTGTTCCAATGTGGGATGTCCCGGTCGGACGGTGGTGGGGTTCACTCTCTTAAGTACTCGCCTGCCAAACCTTTGTTGCGGACCGGTTTGCATCCGCGTGGCCGCCCACCGCTCAGCCTCTCTCAAGTGAGGCAAACGATCGGGGTGCGTCACAGGCTGTCGTCACGCATGTTTCTCGAGCCGAGCAAGCGCTTTCCACACACGCGAGAGCGTTGCCCAAGCGTGAGTCTAGCCGAGATGCCCTCGTTTTGGGAGGGTTTCGCCGATTTCTCCGTCCTCCTACCTCAGTCAAAATAGGCCCGGGGGGCGGTTGGAAAGCGGGGGAGAAACCGCAGGCGGCGGCGGCGGCGGCAGCAGCAGCAGCAGATCT